AATTCTCCAGCCTTCCTTTGTCAATGACTTTCATGACATGGATGTCAAGAGTCTAGGTCAACTGTATTTTTACATTTTTGTTATGTGTTTTTTTTTTTTTGAGACGGAATTTCACTCTTGTTGCCCAGGCTGGAGTGCGATGGCGTGATCTCAGCTCACTGCCACCTCCGCCTCCCGGGTTCCAGAGATTCTCCTTCCTTAGCCTCCGGAGTAGGTGGGATTACAGGCTCCCGCCACCATGACAGGATAATGTTTGTACTTTTAGTACAGATGGGGTTTCACTGTGTTGGCCAGGCTGGTCTTTAACTCCTGACCTCAGAAGATCTGCCAACCTCAGCCTCCCAAAGTGCTGAGATTACAGGCGTGTACCACTGTGCCCGGCCCAATTTTTCTCTTTCTCTTTTTTTTTAACCTCAAAATGTTCCTAGTATTTTCTTCTAGTTTTTGGTAGAAAGAGGATCTAGAGCTTGTCCCTTCTGTTAAAATTGTCCCTTGGGCAACATGGGCGATCCTTGCTGCCATGGAAATGTTCTGCATCTTGACTGTATCAATGACAATATCCTGGTGATGACACTGTGGGATCTGTGCATCGAGGGAAACCGGGTAAAGGCTACAAGGAATGTCTCTGTATTATTTCTTAACACTGTATGTGAATCTACGATGATCTCAAAATTAAAAGTTTAATTTTTAGAAAATGCCCTTTGGCATTTCAGAGTGCGAAGGGTTAGACCTTTTTCCTAGGGAAAACCTGGCCCCTTGGTGAAACTCCCAGCAGGAATCCTCCCCGCCTGAGAAACTACTTCTTAATGAACTTCTTTCACTTGCAGGGGCGGGGGAGGGGAAAGGGAGTGAGGACTTCGTCGCCCTCCACAGGGACATTTTAAAGTGAATGAAGGGAGCAGGGTCTCTCATTAACGCTGAAATGGGGGCAGGTGGTTCTCTAGAAGAGAGGCCTGGCTCTGGCCTGCATTTCCTGCTACAAAGTTATCGCATTAAAGGTAATCACTGCTCCTTCCTTCCTCTAAGAGTGGATTGTGAAGAACATTGGAAAGACTTTTTTATCTATTGCCTTTGTTAGCTACAAAGTTCTTAATGATAAAGAAAAGTCAGAAAAATCTAAATAGGCAACCACAAGGATTAGTTACGGGCATTTTATTCTTGCTCTGTAGAATATTATGCAGCATTTTTGGGTGATGTTTAGGTAGCATTTTATCATTGAAGGCAAAAATGAGATTTGAGATCTGGAGACTACTTTTAGAGGACTTGGATGTCTCCTCCTTGGGATGTAGGGGATATGGGTTGGAAGATGGGCAGGGCCCGGACCCGGAGCCTCATCAGGGAACTTCACCAGGTGCCTATTCAGGCAGAAATGCTAATTTCTGGGTGTTTTCAGAGAGATGGTTCATGGTTAATGGTTTTGTTTCTGCTTACCTTGAAAAGTCATCCATCCTTGTTATATTAAAAAAAAATTGATACATAATATTTGTACATAGTTATGGGGTACATGGGATATTTTGTTACTTTCATAGAACGTGTAATAATCAAGTCAGGAAATTTAGGGTATCCATCACCTGAAGTATTTATCATTTCTTTTCTTCCTCTTTTGTTTTTTTTACTGAGACCGAGTCTCACTCTGTCACCCAGGCTGGAGTGCAGTGGCGCAATCTCAGCTGACAGGAACCCCTGCCTCCTGGGTTCAAGCAATTTTCCTGCCTCAGCCTCCTGAGTAGCTAGGATTACAGGTGCCCGCCAGCACGCCTGGCTAATTTTTGTATTTTTAGTAAAGACGGTTTTTCACCATGTTGACCAGGCTGGTCTTGAACTCCTGACCCCCCTTCAGGTGGCCTCCCAAAAGTGCGGGATTACATGGCATGAGCCACCGCACCGGCCTTTTTTTTTTTTTTTTTTTTGAGATTGAAGTCTTGCTCTGTCACCAGGCTGGAGTGCACAGCGCAATCTTGGCTCACGTGTAACACCCTTCTCCTGGGTTCAAGCTATTCTGTCCTCCTCAACCTCCTGAGTAGCTGGGCTTACAGGTGCCTGCCCCATGCCGCGGTATTTTTGTATTTTTAGTTGAGATGGGGTTTCCCCATTTTGGCCAGGCTGGTCTCAACTCCTGACCTCAGGTGATCAGTCGCTAGGCTCCCAAAGTTCTAGGATTTACAGGTGTGAGCCACCGCCCCTGGCCCTTGTTCATTCTCTCTTTTTTTTTTTTTTTTTTGAGATGGAGTTTTGCTCATGTTGCCCAGGCTGGAGTGCAATGGCACGATCTTGGATCACCGACAACCTCTGGCTCCCGGGTTCAAGCAACTCTCCGTGCCTTCAGTCTCCCGAGTAACTGGGCAATTACAGGCATGCACCACCAGGCCGTGCTATTTTTGTGTAGTTTTTAGTGTAGACAGTGTTTTTCCATATAGGTCAGGCTGGTCTAGAACTTCTGACCTCAGGTGATCTGCCCGCCTTGGCCTCCCAAAGTGCTGGGATTATAGGCGTGAGCCACCATGCCCAGCCTATTCATTCTTTATAACTACTTTTTGTGGTATCCGTTAGACCTCCTCACCTCCACTCCATCCCCATGATATTTAGAGCCCAGAAAGACTGAACATAGTATCCCTTGCCTTCCTAGAAATTTTTCCTAAAGAAATAATCAGATGTGGAAAAGGATTGTGTACAGGAATGTTTACTGTCATATTCTTTTTATAAGATTGAAAACCTGAAATGTTAATAACACCAAGCAGTTACTGAGCTCTTACCATGGTCCAGTTGCTGTGCTAAATGCTTTCTAGGCATTGTCTTGTTTCATCTTTTCGAGAAGGTTATATTATCATCTCCATTTTATAAATAAATAAAGAAATAGAAGCACTGAAAGATTAGTCATTTGCCTGGGACAAAATAATTAGTAAGTAGAGGAGACAGATGTGTAAATGACAGCAATAACACATTATGGTAAACATTAAAATAGAAATAATGGTTCATTCCTGGTTTTCAGCACACACAAAAAAGAAAAAATAATATGAGCAACAATTAGTAGACAATGCAAAGTACTATTATCATTATACACAGTGTGTATTCAAATGCTTAAAATAAAGCACTGCACAAAGTGAGCACTTAAAATGGTTGTTATTATTTGCACCTCAAACACTTTTTTTTTTTTTTTTCCCAGACGGAGTCTCCCTCTGTTGCCCAAGCTGGAGTGCAGTGGATCGATCTCAGCTCACTTCAAGCTCCGCCTCCCGGATTCAGGCCATTCTCCTGCCTCAGCCTCCCGATTAGCTGGGACTACAGGGGCCTGTCACCACGCCTGGCTAAATTTTTGTATTTTTTTTTAATTAGAGATGGAGTTTCACCGTGTTAACCAGGATGGTCTCAATCTCCTGACCTCATGATCCGCCCACCTCGACCTCCCAAAGTACTGTGATTACAGGTATGAGCCACCGCGCCCAGCCTATTTGCACTTCAAACTTTAATGCGCCCACATATAACTTAGGAATCTTGTTAAAATTCAGATCCTGAATCAGTAGGTCTAGTAGACCTGAGATTCGGTATTTTATTTTATTTATTTATTTATTTATTTTGAGACAAAGCCTCACTGTCACCCAGGCTTGTGTGCACTGGAGTGATCTCAGTTCTCTGCAACCTCCGCCTCCCAAGTTCAAGTGATTCTCCTGCCTCAGCCTCTGGAATAGCTGGGATTACAGGCATGTACCACTGCCGGGCTAATTTTTTCATTTTTAGTAGAGACAGGAGTTCTCCACGTTGGCCAGGTTGGTCTTGAACTCCCGACCTCAGGTGATCTGCCTGCTTAGCCTCCCAAAGTGCTGGAATGAGA